GTAAAAAAAGCTGTACTTGTGTGGTTGATGGTGAGATGAAAAATGAGCATGTCACCAGAGAAAAGACAGGCAATAGGGTTGGGGATTCGAGGTAAGACAGCCAGATCTTCTGTGTCTCTTCTATTTCTGGGTCTTGTTTTTAGGACTTCTATTGGCTCTGTGAAGAGATAGCACTGTGTCACATATTGCACAGTTTTGTCAACCAATTAAAGCCAAAATGTTTACAGTTAATTGGTGGTAGATACAGAAAACAAATGGACCTGACAGAAACTGATTGATGACATCTTTTTGTTTGGGAATCCAACCAAACACTCCTTCGGAGTCAAACTGGACCAAGTGTGTTTTCCCAATATTCTTTAAATGGATATCTGGTCCTAAAATATTTGTTATTCTCTGAAAATAAAAGGAAATAACACAAACTAGAACATTAGAAAGGAGCATGTTATTTTGTATCTATTATGTTGGAGAGAAAACATAATGTAAGAAACAATTGTGCCATACTGTAAAACTATAGTTTTTCCAGTTGCTGATATTTGTCAGTTTTTATTTATATGTAGTGTTCAGTATGTGTTCCAATACACATTCACAGTAATGCCACGCTACACCTTGGTCACAATAATAAAAATATCCTTAACTTGAGAAAATTGATATTTTTGTTGTTAGACTAATAACATGCACATTTACAGTACTGTGCAAACGTCTTGAGACACCTTTATTTCTTTATGTTTTATTAGGAAAATAGGTGCAGAGATTCAATTAAATTTTCAATTCAACTCAATTTTATATGCATGGCACCAAATCATAACATCAGTCACCTCAGTGGTAAGAAAGTTAAAGACCCTACAATAACAGTGTGAAAAACCTCAACAATCAAACAACACCCTATGAGCTACCACTTAGGAAGGAAAAACTCCCTTTTAACAGGAGGAAACCTCCAGTTCAGGGAGGAGCATCCATCTGCTGCGATTGGTTGGGGGTGAAACATGTACAAACATTAATGGAAATACAGTATAAAGCTGCTTTTGGCTGCACCCTTGTTACAGGTGGGGTAGCTCTGCAAATTGCTTGATTTGGCACAGTTTTATACTTTTCCTGACCCAACCACAAAGCCAGCTACCTTTCACTTGCCACTACACTACACTACATTACAGTAGATGGAACTTATATATACATTATTTAAGGCAAAAACACAGTTTGTAGAATTCTAATGAACTTAAGTTAATATTTGGCATGGCCACCTTTATTATTTTAGAACCTGAACTCTCTTTGGCAAGATTTCCTCTTATTAAGAGTTGTTCTCCAGACTTCTTGAAGGACATTCAAAGCGTGTCTTTGAATGTCTTTTGTTCTTTTCTCTGTCAAAATTGTCCCACACTGCCTCAGTAATGTTGAGGTCCAAGCTCTGGGAAGGAACGACACTGTGCCATTGTGTGGTTTTCCATCTACTTTACCGGTTATGCTTTTACTGCATTGGCAGTGTGTTTGGGGAAAGTGAAGCCGCTGCCAATCAGACACTTTCCAGGTGGTACTGCATGGTGGATCAAAATGTGACAGTACTTTTCTGCATGGTTCCATCAATTTTGACAAGATTCCAAGACCACAGGCTGTAATGCAGTCCCAAACCATGACACAGCCTCCAACATAAATATACAGATGTCTATAGACGCTCCATTGGGACCTGCTTTATAAAGTTTGACAAAAATTTGATGACAGCTCCAGTTCTTGTACAATTTGGCATGTGCTTTTTCTTCCTGTTCCCTTCTTTGACTATGGTTTCTTGACAGACACCCTTCTGCTGAGACCATGTCTGATGAGAAGTGCCACATGCATTTCTCTGGTCCTGTGTCAGGACTTTGTTGGATTTTTTTCCTATTTCTAAAGGAAATGACTTGAAGATACTTCATATATGCTACAGAAAGTTGTTAGGCTTATCCCGTCTTTGCTGGTCCTCCACTTGGTTCAGTTTCCTCATTTTTTAAGAACACACTGCATACCCTGCGGTCATATGTCATGTTTTCAGCCAATAACTCCTTGGGAATTGGCATGTGGGTGCAAAAATTACTGTTTTATGTCTGTTAAACTGTTATCGTTGGGATCTTTCATAGTTTCAACCAAAGAAATAGGAAAACAACATATGTGTTTTTGTGACAGGCTGCGAATAACAAAGTGCCTAAAGATACAAATAAAAAGGCAATGTTAAAATAAAACCCTGGAAAAACAGAAAACCTGGAGAACTCAAGCCAACTTTTAAAAATCACAAATCTGGCAAAATATAAAGAAACGAGGGGTGGCTCAAGACTTTTGCACAACACTGTATATATGATGAAACTCACAGAAAATGAAAAAACCTCTTGCTGGAATAACTTGGAATAACAAAATATTTTTTCTTTGATGGTGAGCAGACTTCATTATTTATCACTGTCACTTCATCATATGCAATGATATCACAAAATCTGCAGCTGCAACATTTTTTCCCATCCTGCTGAGGCTGGCCGAAACCTTGTTAAATGCTGTGCCAAGCTTTCTGCCTACTAATTGATGTAGCTAAACCCTACAGTGTGAGGAGTCTCTTGGCTGCGTCAGTACAGTTCTAATGTTGTATTTGTACTTGTTTTTCAAATATCCCTCCTCTCACTCCCGCACACATTTAGAGTAACTGATCACTAATTATAAGAGAAATAATTGAATTGGATAGCTGGATATCCTTGCAAGGTTTAGCTGATCAACGGTTGTCAGTGGCCCATTGTTAACCTTCCATCACCTTTGCCCAGACCATGCTATGGCTTTCTTTGATGCTGAGCAGCAGGTGTCCATCTGGTGAAAGCTGAGCAGAGAGCTGAGGCAGTCTGGAAAGGCAGGATGTATTGCAAAGCTCCTCAGCAGACACGTATCGCTCACACTGGCAGCTGGGGTGCAGATAAGGCAAGAGACAGAAAGGCAACATATCAGGCTGTATACCAGCTAGAATCCTAATTCACTTCTTTATTAGATGTAGCTTTAGTAGTTTTTACAGAGCAACAGTAAATCGGACTCGACTTACATGATTTGGTAAAGGAAAAAGGTGATAAGGTGACTCACATGCCCATCTCCGCATCCAGAGTTCCTCCATGTGGTCCACAGGTGATATTGCAGGAGTGGAGGGACGGTGACACACACTCTCTGGATGCTGCCAAGCGCACCTCTCCTGTGGCACATCGTCTGTTCACCTGAAACAAACAAAAACTCAGACTTCCGAAAGGGCATACAAGGTTTTTGCAATATGTTGCATCATGTGTGATTGAACCTTCATTTACATCATAGTATAGTCTTCTCCATACTTTAATATGACAAAAAGAAGGCAAAACGTATTGCAAAGGGAGTCAGTCAAACTTCAAATCTTGACTGGATTTTTATTTATTTTTTGGTTAAAAATAGGAAAGCTTTTCATGTGATTCATGAAAAGCTCTTTTCAACGTTAGACACATGAATGGTGTTTTGCGGTGAGTCTACAGAGTTGCGCGGGAACAAAAAGAAAATTAGAAAATTTCACACTGTCAATATGTCTGTGAAGGGTCTCAGTCACCCAGGTCATCATAGTCTAAGGAGCTTGGAAAGAAAAGCGTCTGGACTTCTTTGAGTTGCTTGAAGACGTTTCACCTCTCATCCAAGAACATTCAGAACTGAAGAAGCTTCTCGGATGAGAGGTGAAACGTCTTCAAGCAACTCAAAGAAGTCCAGACGCTTTTCTTTCCAAGCTCCTTAGACTTCACACTGTCAAGTTGAAGTGTACGTTTTTTGAGTCAATAGACGCATTATTGAGGAAAAAATGCATAGATTAAACCAAATACCTTAATGGTTTTAACTGACCTCAGGCTGACAGTCCAATTCACTGTCGGCAGTAGATATTTTAAAATCCAGCTCGTTATAGAAGATAAAGCCAGTTCTGCACAAACATGAACCATCTGAATACTGGAAAGCACGGTTCTTGCCAATGCAGGTACAGGAAAAAGAACCTGAGAAAGCAAGCGACACACGGCATGGCAGTTTGTGGTCCTGATTTCCAACTCCTCGCAACAAAGTTTACTATAAAAACTTTTTAAATCAGTCTGTTAATCAGTCTGCTCTAACCAGCTTGTGAGGTGGAGGAGCTACCACAGGGGAAGCATGCCTTCTGGGCAGGCAGGTGGTTGAAGGTGTTTTCTGGACACAGGCGACAGTCATCCATTTTCTCAGCACGAGTGAGGTTGCCGAATGAGCCAGGTGGGCAGGATATCGGCTGAGTGGATCCCAAAGGGCAGACATAGCCAAGAGGGCAAGGGTTTTTCTTGTAGTTGTCTGCACCTGTTGCATTAAATGTGTATGAAATGAGAAATACTGTACAATTGAGATCATTTAGGATGATGAAAAATTCCTGCCAAAACGTATATAAAGTACCCGGAGGGCAGAAGTATCCTGGTGGACAAGGAAGGCATTGCAGAATGGAGGCTAGAGATGGACGATAGGTGCCCCCCTCACACACAATACAGCAGCTGTTTTTGGACCCTCTGAGCCCACTAGTGTTGGCAGGCATAGAGCCGCCTTCGCAAGACTTCATGGAAGAGCTGTTGGCTGGGCAGTAGTATGGAAATGGACAGCTGTGGAGCATGGTAACAGGATTATTTATAAAGCTTTAAACCACATGAAGTAGAATCAGTCAAAACCTATGAAGCTTTCATCATTTAAAGCCTCTCTGTTTTTTTATATCACACAGAGTGGACACTTGCCTTTGTGCCAGATTTAGCTTGTTAGAGCTGTCGTGTACTCACAGTTGTTTGGGGCTGTTGTAGGAATGAGATCCTTCAGGGCAAAAATAACCTTCTGGACAGGCTTCAGGCTCAGCAGTTTGGGGTCCACAGTACGATCCAGCTCTGCATGGCCTCTCTGAAACCGCACCTAGATTATGATCAAACACTTGTTACAATACTCACTGCTATGTTTGGAAAGGAAGGAATTTCAAATGGTTCAGACATCGCATCCAGAGGCTAAAAGGAGCTTTCACATAAAGCTATTCTGACAAACCCACCAACAGGACACTGATAGGAAGCCCGACAGGGTATCCCTTCCACGTTAGGTTTTCCTGTATCCTGGGGGTGTGGGCAGAAGGTTCCCCCTGCACAGAGTTCACACTGGCTGGGTGCAGCAGCTCCCGGAAGCTGCCTCATGGTGCCTGCGGGGCAGAGGATGGGAGGCCCAGTCCCACTACACCAGAAGCCAGGTGGGCAGGGATATTTGGAGTAGTCTGTCTGCCCTACAACAACAACCATTTTCTAAAAACAACAAATCACTATATAGTGTGACAGACATATGAACCACAAAGCTTGCTAAAATTATTACAACAGAAGTTTTTTAATAAGCCTTCATTAATTCCCACATAGGCAGCAAAAGAAAGGACCGTAACAACCTGCTACACATTATCCACTAGCTAAAGCAACAATATGATTTAGTGCCAACCATGAACTTTTGTGAGAAGACCAGAAACAAGGTTGTTGTTTTTTTTATTTGAAAATGTGGCCTTAGGTGAAGAGTTAAAATTCAATGCCTTCCCTCACATCATATTTCCTTCATTCATAGTTTAGGCACAACTATGATAATGTGCACCATATACTGTATACTGACATTAATGCAGTCATGAAAGGAGCTGGCTTTGAATTGCCCTTGCAGATGTGCATTAAAACCCAACAGAGAAAAAAAGATAACAGATGTATTGTAAAATGTATTACAGTGCACCACACTGTAACAGAATGGAATAATGTGTAGCTTTTACAGGGAAGGAAAAGGAATCTGTTACATTTATAGATTAAATTTGAGTTTATCTTTTAAAACATGAGGATATGGCGTATCAGACCTGTGCTGTTACAGTGTGAACCAGGTGGGCATGGCAGGCAGTCCCCCTTGCTGTGTGCTCCAGGAGAAGCTCGATAAGTGTAGAGAGGGCATGGCCTGGCACCAGTCCCTCCAACAAAGTCGCCACCAGGCAGACCATCACAGTAATGACCAGCAGGACACAGATGAGCAACTGGGTCTCCTGCAAGCAAACATCACAAAAAGTTGTTTAGGAGGAAAACAGTTTTCAGATACTTGGTATATACACGAACAATTTTTATGCTACAAGAAGAGATCAGCCTCTCCTATTCCCTTTCATCAGATCAGAAAATTCAAGTATCTTGATTAAAATTTAGTATTTTTACCCTTAATACTTGATTAAAATGGCTACAAAACTTCACTCAGTTCATACCAGATTTGCACCAATACTGGGGTGGGCAAGGTAAGCAATCCTGTAGGCTGGCACCTCCTGGGGAGCTTCTGATGGTATTTGCAGGACACAACTGAGCCTGTTTTGTGCCTTCGGGGCAATAGAAACCTAGAATAAAGGAAACATTTGGTATTTAACAATTTATTTAGCTAAACTACACCTGGAGAGATCTGAGCCAAATAATCTGAGAATAAAAGCATTAACATTGATTTGTTGGTAGTTTCTTCTACATTGTTAGTTTTTAAAATTATATATCTTTCTCTCTATATATACATATTGCACCTGGTGGACACGGTCCAGCACACTGCACACCCCACTGGCACTGGGTTAAGTTAAACACTGGTCCCTGAGGGGTGAAATCTGTGCTTCCAGAAACGCAGATATACCCTGCAGCACAAACACCTTGGATCTTACCACCCCTAAGGAAACATACGGGGTTAGTTAGTCAGTACATAAAACCACAAGATTCACTCCATGCAGACAGAAACATACGCCTATGCACACATAATTAATTTAGAAGAATCTGAAACGTACGCTCCATTTAACAAATACAAAGATAATAACATCATCTCTTCTGGTTTAATGTTTACTCTGAGTTGATTACGATCATGCATATGAAGGCAGTCATTTAGTTTTGGCAGTGAACCGTGGCTACTGATCATGACATACTTGTGCATTCTGATGTGATAACAGTGAGTGTTTGTCTTTGAGCATTGTAACTGATGATTACAGTGTTCAAAGAGTTGATCCTGACAGGAAGGGCAGTGGAGATACAATCTATGTTAAAAGCATGATCAGCTGTAATTTGTGATGCTTTACAAAATCTTAATTACTTGGAAGTAATTAAAAATGGCTAAGAGAACAATTTATGAATAATTTATAAATTATTAAAATGAAATCTGTATATTTATGTTACTAGGTCTCATTCTTTGAAAATCTTAAGAACCAGCAATTTTATATGAGCTATGCATTTGTCAAATAGAGTTAATATAATGCATGATGTTTAGCCTGCATGCCAACATTTTTGACATAATGACAATTAAAATAATGGACGCTATTATAAAGCAATATAGGATTTCTAGGAGAGAAGATCGATGAACAAAGCTAACCTACAGAGGTTTAAGAAAGAAATGTCCAACTCCGATCTGAAAATCCAAATCACAGCACTACATAAGATCCATTTAAAACCGCAATAACCTTTCTGAATTATTGAAAGAGATAAAGTTGCTGTCATGCTCCATGTTTTAATTAACTCAGTTAAAATTATCAGTAAAGCTGATATTGCTGGGTATCTTAATGAACATTTTCTATCAGCTAGTTCTGTTTTTAATGAAAATGTGGTCTCAGAGTTCTAATTTGAATTCCATGTCTTTTTCATCTATTACCTCCACATCAAAAGAACCCATTTGTCTTTAGATCAATTTCTTCAAAAGGTTTGAAATCCATTCATCCAAAAAAGTCATCTGGACCTGCCAATCTGATTCCCCGTCATCTAAAGCTAACAGCTGACGCAATTGCTGAGCCTGTTCTTCATATTATTATTACTCCAGATTTTAGGGTGATTTAGTGTCCAGACTAATATCGCCCTAAAATCTGTAAAGCAGCCTGTGTTCTCCCCTTTTAAAAAGTTTCATTTTAAATAATTATAGCTAAACTTTCCACTCTTGTTAAAACTCTGGTATTTGAAATAAGCTCTTTGATGGCTTTAGATCAGTTCGTAGTACCATAATATGTGTGGGTTACAAATTATGTTGTTAATGCATTTTTCTGCCTTGTTTGTTGATCTATCCAAGGCATTATATTCTCTTAGTCAGACTCAGTTCTCTGGGCCAAATCTTATTTAGAAGCTGAACTGGGACAAAATGGCATATACAACTTTTAGAGCAACATATGGTACCATCCAGATTTTGCTTTTTGTTTTTGGAACTGGGGTTTAGGGTATCTGGTTCAATAGTGTATGTATGCTGTTATGTTTGTTGTTGACTCTGACTTCCTTTATTTATTTATCAATATATATTTTTCATTTGTAAATTTATAATTTTGTATTGGGGTGCCTTCTTGGCGTGGTCTCCCTTAAAAAGAGATTTTATTCTCAAGGGACTTACTGGTAAATAAAGCTTAAATAAATAAAATTAATAAATATGTCTGTATACACAAGGTGTGCATGGGCCTAGCTGTATGTTTATCTAAGTCAATGCACTGTTTCTGAATATTTGAGGGTGCAAGACGTGCATGGGACTGTGTACCTGCAGAACTTTCCTGGAGGGCAGGGTGAACACTCTCTCTCTTCCTGTAAACCTCCCAGATCTGAAAGGGTGTATGTCCCATTAGGACAGGGCTGAGGTACCATTGTTCCTAGAAGAAAAACAAGAGGTGGGATAAAACAAAAGCCTTTATTGGTCATCTCATCTTGATTTTGAAATAAACCAAGTGGGCTAACATTCTTGACTAATATTGGTCTCATGTCAATGAATATGTCAGTGAGCTATAAATAAAAGTTTAAATATTTTATTGTCAAGAGCTTCTTTTCAGCATACCTGCAGGGCAGAATGAATGTGGTGGGCAGGGTAGTGGATCTCCCACTATGGCCTCCTCACAGTAGAAACCAGGTCTGCAGGGAATGCAGCTGTCTGATCCCTGGTTAGGCTGGTACTCTCCTGTGGGACAAGGCAAGGCCATGGCAGAACCTTGCAGACAGTAGTGGCCCTTAGTTGGAATGAAAAAGGTGAAGGAACATCAGAGAAGTGGCACCCAATTTAGCAGAAAATTGATATTAAAAATGTTGCACAACCATTTATTACAGATGTGTCTGGAAAATAATAGAGAAGACATGGGGAAGTAATTCAGTTGGAGAGAAGTCTATATGTTCAACCTTACCTTGGGACAGAGGAATGCATATGGGGTAGTTGAAGAGAAGTCAAAAGGGCAGTAGAAACCAGCAGCACAAGGACCACTGGGGCTAGCCAGACCGTCTGTAGAGCAGTAGTGGCCAGCAGGACAGGTAGAACAACTCTCCATGGACACACCTCCTATGATGGGTGCACAATAGATAACAGTCAGAGAATATCGTGAAGGAGATAATGGGAAGCAGACAGCATGAGATCGGAAGTGGATCTCTTTGAAATTCAAATCCAGCTGCATGGAAATGCCTTTTCATGACATGTGCAAACATTAGTGAAGTACCAGTGGAGTTGCGAATGCTGCCAAGAGGGCATGGAATTGGAGAGAGGCACCCTGCTGGACAGTAGTGGCCCACAGGGCAAGGGCCATTCCTGGAGAAGTGTTCAGAGCTGTGAGGGGCTGGTTCCATAGCTCCACCATGGCAGAAATAACCCTGCAAACATAAACCTGGACAGAAAAAAAGAAAATGGTGACACTACCAGTTTGATGCCATGTGAGGATACAGATGTGAGTATTTGGCTATAAAGCCAAAGTTATGTTAAATCAAAATTTTAATCTCTGTTCACCTTGTGGTATGGAGGCTCCATATAAGCCACAGTACAGTCCAGAGGGGCAGGGTGTGCAGGCAGAGAGCGTGTGGGCACCTGTCTGATTGTTGAAAGTACCTGAAGGGCAGGGCTGAGGCAGGGCTGTCCCAGCAGGACAGAAACGACCTAAAGAGAAAGCAGTTACTTTATGTTACTGCAAAAATACAAATTTGGACAATACTGTTGCTATACCTAAAAGTTTAAAAATATTTAATTTGTGACAGACTTAACGTTTATTTTTACCATCCTCACCAGAGGGGCAGGCGGAGGGCTCTTTAGTGGCTGACGATGGACACACGGTTCCTTTGGGGCATAATAAGCAACGGGCTGCTCCCGGGGCAGGACTGTAAGTGCCAGGCTCACAGGGCTCCTCATGTGCTGAGCCAATAGGACAGCTGTGGCCAGCAGGACAGAGGTAGCCATGGGAACCATTGGATGGAGTGGGACTGGAGCTGCCGCCCAAGCATACATACCTGTAGGCACAAACAGAGGAAAACAAACTGCGTATAGATTTTGGCACAAGCTGCCACTAGCAAAACTGTAAGTGAGGGGAAATCATTCAGCCACAATTTCAAATTATGTTTTGTGTGTGTGTGTGTTTCTTGTTTTGCAGTACGGCAGAGTGCAGCTCATGGCACAAAGTCTGGCTTTATTAATTCACTCAGGTTAAACTGCATGAAAAAACAGGAGTCCTTAATAGCTAGCAGCAGCCAAGAAAAACGTATCTGAATTGTTCTGTGTTTTAATTTTCCTCCACAATATGCCTAAATGTTCCAGTTTTCTTATTTACAGTCTAATACCAGAAGAGAAAGAAACCGAACTACTGGCAGACACTGAAGTGATTGGAAGACATTAAAAGGCCTTTAAAAAAGTCACTATCCACTCTGAGAAAGAGTGGATTTGAAATTGAAAAGTAGAAGAGTAATAGTAGTGTTTACCCAGCCTGACACGGGAGCGCTTGTGAAAGCTCTGCTATTGCAGGACTGTCACAAAACAGTCCAGGGGGGCAGAGTGTGCATTCATCAACTCCCTTTAGTCCTTGAGCGATGGAGAAAGAACCAACAGGGCAGGGGAGTGGATAGCCAGTGCCTGCAGGGCAGTACAGGCCAGGCGGACAAAGATGACTTCCAGACGAATTTCCCTGAAAAAAGTAAGAAAAAGTTTTAATTATCTAAATAAAAGAAATAAAAAAATATAGTGTATCATATGTGATACATGACTTTTTTTACACCTGTACATCATCTGTGTGATTTTTGTTTTTCCATGGAAATGCCTGATGTATACAATCAGATACATGCCATCCTACTGTGAGCAATAAATTGCACATTGTTGCATTATTTAATGTGTCACTAGATTAAAAAACACTTCAGTTTCCAAAAAAATGAATTTTATGACAATTTATTGTGGTTTAGGCTTTACAGGGTTAGAATAGAAGAATGTATTTCACTGCAGAAGGTATCCTGGAAATGTGGCCCTTTTTCTTATAGTGTCTATCACACCTGATGGTACCACTGGAAGACCATTTATGACGTGCCAAAAGAGAGTTTTTTTCTTCACAAATAAGACTGTAATACTAAGTTAAAGGTTGAAGGTCCCCTAAAATCATTAGGTATATTTTACTGGCCAGCATCACAGAGGACAAACATCACCTGATACTCAGTAGAGTTTGGACTGGTTGATCCAGCAGGACAGTAGTATCCTGCTTCACAGAGACCTGTGGGCTGGGATTGCCCAGACTGAGAGCAAAACATTCCTGCAGGCAACATAAATAAAATAAAGTCATCATAACAATAATTAGAAATAAAATAAGCGGTCATAAAGTGATCAGGGTGAAGCAAAATGTTTTTATGTACCAGCAGGGCAGGAGAGACAGGTTTCAGGACTGGACGCTCCGAGGTGGTTCTGCACAGTGCCAGGTGGGCAAGGGAACTCTAGTCCTAGAGTCAGACCTGCAGGGCAGTAGTGACCAATAGGACACAGCACAGGCTGGACAGTAGCTTCACCTGAGCCACATTAAGAAAAAGAATAAGTACACACATTATATTTTCTTTTTATTCTTCTTCATTTTGCTGCTAACATATTTCCTCTATTCCTCCTCTGCACATGCCCAAACCCAAACCAAATCTCAGCCTTTCCTCTCTAACCTTGTCTCCAAACTACTGCACCTGAGCTGACTCTCTGATGTACTCATTTGTAATTCTGTCCTTCCTGCCAGTAAAATCTTAGCATCTCTAGCTCTGCCTGCTGACGTTTTGTCAGTGCCACCATCTCCAAATCATACATCATGGCAGGTTTCACTACCATCTTGTAAATCTTCCCTTTTACTCTTGCCTCTGTCACAAATCCCCCTGACATGCATTTCCACCCACTCAACCCTGTCTCTTCTCTTCTTCACTTCTCTCGGGCACAGTCCATCTAATGAGATGCAATTAACAAAGAAATTTAGCAACTTTGGAAAGTCCGTGTTGTGTAGGGATGGGT